GATGATGTGCCATGAAACTTTCACTCAATTCACAATAAAAACCTTAAATTAAAAAAAAAAAAAAAAGAATTTGTCATTAAAAAAAAATCTTAATCAGTTATGTTCTTTTTTCTACCGGAATTACAAGTATAGATTATGAATGTAAAAGTCAAAAGTGCTTGTATCAAATAGGACTTTACATATTATAGTGAAAATAGAATGCTTATAACTATATGGTTTATAAAATATGTATCATTTGAGGTAGCTGATAATAGTCATCTCATAGAGTATACTCTGAAACATCAAAAATAGCAAAAGCTTCTTCTCAATTAGCTCAATCACCCTACCTTCCTGTCACTCTCTTCTCTGTTTCTTCGCCGTTGTTCTTCAATTCTAGCTTCTCTTTTAACATCTTCACCAATCTTTGTTAGAAGCAACATTTCTTTTTCCTTCCACTCCTAAAGAGCACAATATTAGCGTATGCAGTATGTGTTATAGTTCATAGTAATAATTTTATAATTTGTTCATCATAAACATACAATTAAGACCAAGCCAAAGGCCTGATAAAAATCAGGTTATGCATAATGACAGTTATACATTGGGTTTAGGATGGGTTTTTCTTTTACTAACTTTATATTGTGAGTTGAATGAAGGTTTACAGACATGCAGTTGGTTCCATCTCAATGATTGCAATCTCCTTCATGCAACAACAGTTAACCCACACTTCTTCCCTGTGGGTCCTATTTCCATTCCACTCTCCTTCCCATTCCTTAAATAATGTTGCCTCTTAGATCTTGAATGGTTGACATGGTGAGCATACTTTACTAGTGCTGTTGTTCCCCCTAAATACCTTCTTGGATTATTTGCTCAGGTTGAATAAGTATGGTAAAAGAATACAATCTTGTCACACAACTTTCCTAGTTTTAATCCATTCAGTGTTCCCATGTTCTGTTTGAACATCTGCTTCTTGGTCCAAGTACAGATTCCTCATGAGCACAATTAAGTGTTCCAGAATACTCATACTTCACAATGTTGTCCATAGCTTGTCATGATCCACACAATTGAAAGAAAGCCTTTGCATAGTCAGTAAATTTTATAAATAGGTTTGTCAACAATAAACTACCTTAAATGATGACTTATAATTTTAGGTCCTTATTTATTGATAATGTGTTAAGTGCCATCTAGTTGGTTCTGGATCTTAGTAATCCTACATATAGCGTTTCCAAGGACTGACTGGCGAGTTTGAACCACCACCTTTGCAGTTCAAACTGATCTTGTGGTCCAAATTAATTAATATAGAAAGTTGTAATTATATTTTGTTAACTGGAAAATGTCTGTAAAATATACTTCAATGTATGGTAACATTACTATGTATACATGTATTTATTTATTGGAATAAATACTTTTAGAAATATCATGTAAGTGTGTTTCTGTGTGTACATGCACAGCAAAAAGAATAGGGCTTTCAGATGATGACTTCGATTTTTCTTTATACTAATTTGTGTTTGAAACTGCACAGTACTCTATATTATTTAATTTTTTTTTAATTGAGTTAATTTAGTCAATTAACTGATTGAGTAAAATAGACAACTTTTAACAAGAATTTGTCATTTTACTAGAAAGGACAAGCAGACTAGAACAGCTACAGTGACAGAAAATACATCTTCATGATGAACTTGACCTATACTCAGAGCGGTAGTTA